CATGTGTGTGAACTCAAATCCCAACGCCCTCGTTCCCCAGGCCTGGTGACACATGACCAGTGAGTGCAATATAACGACCCTCTACCCTTGTCTTGTAGGGTAAATGGGTCGAAATGCATTAAAGCCAGGACAGCCAGAGGCCCGGTTCCCTTGTCTTGCTTGAACTGTTTTAGGTCCCACCTTATGGCAAGTGGCCGAAATTACTGGTGAATGTCCTTATGGCCATAGACCCAAAAATTCGATGAAAGCAGGATTTACACTTGTAACCCCAACACTGAGGTGGTGGTGGCGGTATCTATGTAGCAAGTTCTAGAACAGCCTATGCTACATGAGAACTTCTCTTAAAAATTAAAGGGAAGAGCTTGGAATGGAGCTCAATTAATAGATTTCCTCCCCAAAATGCACAACGCCCTGGATTTCTTCCCTGGGATGCACATTCATAACTGGGCCTAATCCAACCCTGTAGAGCGTACATCCTTTGTTGCAATATTTGAGACAACTGTGATGTCTGTACTTAACAGATGAAGGCAAGAAATTAAGAAATTCAGCGTGCCCAGCCTTGGTGCCACAAGCCTTTAATCCTAGCACTTGGGAGGCAGAGATAGGGCGATCTCTGTGAGTTCGAGGCCAGCATGGGCTACAGAGTGAGTTCTAGGATACGTTCCAAAGCTAAAGAGAAACCTGTGTCTGGAAAAAGAAAGAAAGAAAGGAAGGAAGGAAGGAAGGAAGGAAGGAAGGAAGGAAGGAAGGCAGGAAGGAAGGAAGAAGAAATTCACTGACCCACATTATTAGTCTAGCATTGGGGGTCACAGGAAACCCATCTCCATGACTTCAAGGCAAGCCTGGTCTACATAGGTGTTTCCAAGACAGCCAGGACTATATAAAGAGATCTTGTCTTGGAGGAAGTTAGGAAGGAAGGAAGGAAAAAATTGAATGGAGGGAGGGGACTCAGAGAATAATGTTTTAAGTTAGTATGTATTTATAGAAAGTAATGGGTTTCATTGTGACCTTTCATTTCCCCCACATTTATCTTTTTACTGTTGAGGACCCCACACAAGCATGGAACACATTTCTATAAAATCCAGACCAGTTTCCCTTACCTCCGATCCCTCCCCATCCTCCCCACCATTTCCTCTCCGCACTTCATGTGCACTTAAAACAAAACAAAACCCACCATTCATCTGCCTCCTCTGTTCCAGCAAGGTCCTCCCTCCGTCTCCCTTGGGAGTCTCTCCTCTAGTTTAAAGCCCCCATTTAACAACAACAACAAAAAAATCTAGATTCCTCAAGTGAGGGAGAAAATGAAATATTTGTCTTTTGGAACCTGGCTTATTTTTGCTTATACTGATTTCCATTTCATACAAATAATGTAATTTTGTTCTTTTTGGCTGAACTAGGCTCCTTGTGTTCACATGCATTCATTTGTATGTGTGCTCTGTTTATCCATCCCCCTGTAGTTGAATTGTTTTCTTTGGTAATGCATAGGTGTTAGGCCCCAAGTTGTACCCTGACATCGATTCTTTCAGACAGACACCCAGAGCTATATCAGGGTCATACTGTAGTTCTGCTTTTTTAGTTTTCATTTTAATATATATTATGTGGGTTTTGTTGTTGTTGCTGCTGCTGGTTTTTGCTTTTGTGAGACAGGGTTTCTCTTTGTTACCCCTGAGGAAGTTCTGGAACTTGCTTTGTAGATGGGGCTGGCCTTGGATTCATTGACATCCACCTGCCTCTGCCTCACAAGTGCTGGGATTAAAGATGTGTGCCAACAATGTGGTTCCATTTTTTTTCTTGGCAGGGAAATGGCTGGCAACAATTTTCTCCCACTATCTAGGCTTTCTCTTTATGCCCATCTCTGTTCTTCCTGCTCTTCAGAAGCCTTTGAATTAGAAGCAATTTGTCAATTTATTATTTTTTTCTTATTTTACATCGATCCCAGTTCCCTTTCCCTCCCATTCTCCCTCCCATACCCCCCAACACCCCTCCCATCCCCCCATTCCACAGGGAGGGTGATGCCTTCCAGGAGGGAATCATCAAAATCTGTCAAGTCATTTGGAGTAGGGACTAGGCCCTCTCTCCTGCCTCATGGGGAATGTGCTCCCAAAGTCCTTTCATGCACCAGGGATACATCCTGGTTCCACTGTCTGAGGTCCCTTAGACTGCCCAGGCCTTCTAACTGAGACCCATGTTCAGCTGGTCTAAGTCGGTCCAATGATGGTTTCCCAGCTATCATTCTGGGTGTTCATGAGCTTCCCCTTGTTCAGGTCAGATGACTGTGGGTTTCTGTGGTCTTAGCTCCTTTTCTTATCCCCCCTCCCTCTCTGCAACTGGATTCCAGGAGTTTGGCTCAGTGTTTAGCTGGGCCATGTCAATTTTTACAAAGGAAAGCATTTAATTGGGTGGTCAGCTTGCACTTTGGGCTTTTAGACAGCATTGGAATTGTTAAAGGCTACAGACCCTTTGCAGTTGGATTTTGCGTAATTGTGTCTGACCATATGGAAACAAGGGAAGGAAAATTAGGGTTTCAAAGCAATGTGTTTGGGTGTCAAGTTGACCAGATGTAGAGTTGGGATGGTTAATATTCCAACTCTAGGATCAAGTAGGAGACAGCCTCTGAACACAACCATGGGGAATCACTAGATAGATAAACTTCCAGGCAAGTCCAGGATTATCTATTCTAGGTTAAGATGGGAAGACACTCCTTAGTTATAGATGTCACCAAACTGTGGAAGATGTCCAGGACTGAATAACAAGGAGATGTATTAACTATTGATTCATTTTTCTGTAGTCTTAGAATCCTACCTGTAATGTTGTGGGAAAGTTCTTTTTTTCTGCTCTTGTCTATTTGGGGTTTTAAATGCCTCCTCTATTTGTCCTTAGGTCTGTGTGTTTCCTGGTGTAACTGAACTTCAGCCTGCACTACAGAACGAACAGGAAGACAAGAACTTGAAGGTAATAAAATGGCAAAGACTTTGCATGCTAATGCATACTTGTAATCCCATCATGGAGGAGGCAGGTAGAAGAATTGCCTCCCAGTTCAAGGTCATTCTGGTTAGTTTAGTGAGTTCTGGGCTGGCCGGGGATACATACCAAAACCCTGTCTCCATAAAATGGAGAAAGGATGCAGTGAGATTAGACTGAGAGAGAAAAAGAGCATGAATTAACACAGAATAGATAGCAGGGGCTAGAAAATAAAGGAAACAAGGCATGGCGCTGCCCTGCACTTTAATCCCAGCACTCAAGAGGCAGAGGCAGGTGGCTGTCTATGAGTTTGAGGTCAGCCATGGATAAGGTGAGATCCTTTCTAAAAGAAAAGAAAAAGAAAAAATACTGTAATATCAATTGATATCATGTCCTTGTTGGGATGTGTATGGATTCTCAGCCCACCAATGTTTCTTGACATTTCAGGCATGTGCATACATGTACACATATGACTTATTTTATAGCTTGTATGTGTTATATAGATGAAGCTTATTACAGAGAGGAACTTGAAGTGAGGAATGAGAATATCTATGCCAGGGCAGTGGTGGCACACACCTTTTATGCCAGCACCAGGGAGGCAGATCCTGCAAGTCTCTGAGTTCAAGTCCAACCTTGTCTACAGAGTGAGTTCGAGGACATCCAGGGCTACACAGAGAAACCCTGTCTCAAAACACAAACCTAGGAAAGGAAAATGTCTAAACCCTTGGGAGTTCAAGTGCATGTAGTGGCATCTCCCGTGAAAGAGCTGAATGGCCTTTATGTGGCGACAGGATGGTGGAAGAGAGTAGGACAGTAGTTGGAAGTCTTCAAGAAGTACACTGCCCCCCCTTCTGCTTTGGGGCAGGGTTTCTCTGTAGCTTTGGTGCCTGTCCTGGGACTCACGTTGTAGACCAGGCTGACTTGAACGCACAGAGATCTGACTGTCTCTGCCTCTCAGGTGGATGTCTTGTGCATGCTGACTGCTTTAACATCTGACCTGTGTCTTCAGCCCCACCATATACTCACATCTCCTTGATATTTGTCACTTAACCACTGCAGGACTGTTTCTGGACGGCCAGCACCAGAGGTGACCACTCGTCATCGGCTTGGTCTTTCCTAACTGTTGCATTTGCATAAGAGACTAGAATTTGACCAGAACCTCTACTGTCTCAGCATCATCTGAGGGGCAGAGGAGACTGCACTGCTCCCGTCTTTTACCTAAGGTACTTGTAGTATTCATTTCTCGCTCTAAGATAAAACACTCTGGAAAATAAAACTTAGGAACATCGTGGCAGGAAGGTTTTAGTTCGGTTCACAGTCACAGGCTCTGGGGATTTCACAACCCCAGGAATTTGAAACAGCCACAGCTAGGAGCAGAGAGAGTATGCATGCACACATGCATACATACACGTGTCTCTACTCTTATGGACATGGTACCCCAGAGCAGGGAATAGTGCCACACACTTTCAAGCTGGCTCTTTCCAAACTTATTAATGTAACCTAGGCAATCCCCCAGGCAACGTTGGGACCGAAAACAAGAGAGCAAAGTAAATCTGGCTGTGTCTTCCTGAGAATGGGCACAGCTTCAATAGCTCAGTGGTTAAGAGCAAGTGCTTGAGCATGTAGTTGAGATGGCTCAATGGTTAGGAACATGCACTGCTCTTACACAGGACTTGAGCTCAGTTTCTAGTCCTAAGGTAGGGTAGTTGAAAGCTGCCTGTAATGCTAGGTCTAGGGAATCTGATGCCCTCTTCTGGATTTTAAGGGCACTGTACTTACATGTACACACATACACATAAGGAAAACATTTTTTATTAAAAGGAAGTAACTCTAGTTTTTATTAATTGTAATTTATAAATAAAAATTGTCAATATTATACCAATATTGTAAGTTTTTCCATTGTGTTGTACTTAAGGCAAAAAGAGAGGACTAAAAGCCAATTATGGTCAGGTAAAGTTTAAAAAAAAAAACACTATGATAAAAACATTTAACTCACAATCTCTGTGTGTATTTGTGGTTTTTGCCTGTTTGTTTTTTAGATCTCACCGTTTTCTTTACGAAGAGAAAAAATGGCTCCCGTAAAGATACAAGGTTTAGTCCAAATCCGAAGCAAGAACCGAAACAGGCACACCCGGGCTTCTCGGTGGAAGGAAGCAGTCATTGAAATCGTGGAAAGAAAACAGAAGGTTACCATGGTGTTTTCCTTCAAGTTGGAAAAAAGAAAGAGGGTTTTTCAGCTGGGTAATAATGTTGCAGGTGTAGTGGTTAGTTGTTGTGAGATGGGATTGCACTGCCTGTACTTAACATTAAAAGGTGACACTTCCTTACTCATTGACAAGTTATCCTCCGAAGATATTGAACAACTGAAGGCATTCCTGGATTTGGCTCATCTGTCTGATGCCCAAGACCTAGATGAGCCCAACAGTAGTCATGATTTTCTTGAAAGCGGGCATGCATTTTGCAGGAAGTACCAGGATCCAGTTTGTGGATCCTTGAATACACAAGAAAGGGAGACGCAGCTCCCCATGAAGGCACCGCTTTCAATGTCCAAATCCACCAGCAGGTACGTTAAGAAAGAGAGAGCAGAGAAAGAGATCAAAAAGAGGAAGAGAATGCCAACACCCAGTGTAGAAATAAGTGAGGAAGTCCTCACAGAATATGATCCCGAGCCACAAAAGAAATACAAGATCTGTACCCCCCGAAACAAAAGAGGCAAAGGGGAGAAACCAATGGCTTCAAGAGAGCAGGAAAAACACAACTGGAAACTTGAAAATTCATTGATTTCCAACGTTCGCAGGAAGATTAACCTAGATGACACTATTCTTCCGACACAAACACTCTGTGATGAAAGATCAAAGCTTAGCCAGGAGACACCAACATGTAACGAAATCCAGTTTCCTCTTGACACTTATGCAAAGCAACTGAACCGTGAAGGCTTCCCCAACTTAGGGAATACCTGCTACATGAATTCCATTTTGCAGTCTGTCTTTGGGATTCCAACCTTCGCAAAGGATTTGCTCACCCAAGGTATCCCATGGGAGAATGTTTCCTGTGATGATCTTATCAAGCCCTTGAGCCAACTTCTTGTCTTGAAAGACATTCGGGATGTGGAGATCAAGGGGCAGTTACTCATGACCGTGAAGAAATCCATTTCGACAGTTGCAGACACATTCTTGGGCGATGAGCAGAATGATGCCCATGAATTTTTAAGCCAGTGTTTAGAGCAGCTGAAGCTGAACATGGAAAAAATTAATGCCATGTGGAATCCTGAGGGGGAAAATGAAGGCGCTATGGGCAAAAGGTTCATTTGCCCTGTAGCTGCTAATTTTGAAATGGAGCTGCATAGCTCCATTGTTTGTGAAGGCTGTGGTGCAGCTACCATCAACACCGAGGTGAGCAATTACCTCTCTGTTGACCTGCACCAAGGAACAAAGGATCACCCTCTATCCATTCAAAAGTCTCTGGATCTTTTCTTTACACCTGAGAAAATTGAGCACAACTGCGAGAATTGCAAGAACAAGAATTCTGTGCTCAGGTACACCTGGAGGAGGCTCCCCAGGGTCCTTATTGTTCATCTGAAGCGCTACCACTTTACCTCCAACAGGATGTTGGTGAAGAGTCAGCAGCCAGTGGAGATTTCTAAGTATCTCAGTGTATCTTCTCACTGCAATGAAAACACGAAGCCACCATTCCCCCTGACCAGTAGGGGCCCCAATGACGACTACGATGTCCCAGATGTCTCTGACGGGATGATGCATGAGATCTTTGGCCAGTCAATATCATCCATGCAGCCAACTGCAGTGTCCATTGATTTCACAGTTCTGCAGGTTGGCTCCAACGAGGATGATGAAGTGCAAAACTTCCAGATAATGTGTGATGACCAGCAGCAGATAGGCCTAGAAAGTGTTTCGAGAATTGATCCAGAACTACTGAAGACAGAAAAATGGATGCTCTGTGAAAATGTGTCACCAACATGGGATTCAATCATCTGTGAACCTATCAGCATCCAAGACCTAGGGCTTAGAGAGACCACTCTTCAAAAGCTGCCTGAGAATCCAGAAGTTAAAAACTACAAGAAAATCAATGTGTATGGAAATACAAGTCATCATACTATCATTGAGATATGTAATAATTTCTGTGATCTCAAAGAACAAAAGATTCTGGAAGATACTCAAGAGATAGGCCAACAGTTCTTCCAACAACATGGGAAACGAATCCAGAAGGAATTTCTTTCTCGGGCATCACCTCAAAGTGTCGGAGGTACTCAGGAAGATGCAGAGAAGGACCTGAGTATGTCTTCAGAGATGGCAGATCAGAGAAATTATGTTGATTTCCTGGGTGCATCTGGGCATCCTGAAAATATCAAAGTTGTCGGAATTGACAACCCAGATGCTATTGATGAGCTAAAAGGGATGGAAGATGACCCCCAAAACTACAGGCTTGTCGGTGTTGTCAGCCATTTTGGAAGCTCCCAAGACTCGGGCCATTATGTAAGCGATGTGTACGACTTTCAAAGGCAGACATGGCTGCTGTACAGTGATGTCCAAGTGTTCGAGATCCCAGAGGCCTTGATTCAGGAGAATCGGCTTCATACTGGGTACATTTTCTTTTACATGAGGAATGATATTTTTGAGTGGCTGTTAAAAAAGGCATCAGAGTGCAGGCTGATGAGCACATCTAAGGATGAAAAGAAAACTATGGATCTTTTCTCATCATTGCTTAATGGCTTTACATACCTTCTGGAAGAATCCTAAATTCTACCCATAAGAATCACAAAAGTCAAGATGAAATATCAGAATATCAGCTAAAAATCCACAAAACAAAATAAAAAACAAAACAAAAAACCCAAAAAAACAAAAACACTAAAAAAACCCCACAAAAAACAAAAAAACAAACAAAAAAAAACTCAAAAAACAAAAAACAAAACAAAAAAACCAAAAAAACAAAAAAATTAAAAAAAAACCCACAAAAAACAAAAAAAACCCCAAAAAAATTAAAAAAACAAAAAACAAAAAAAAAATCCCAAAACAAAACAAATAAACAACAACAAAAACCCCATATTAGAATAGAAACCCCGCCATCCCTGATGCTGGCTATGCACCATTCTCTCCAACAAGGCTATGATGGTGCTTTTTGTGGGATTGTGTTTCTTTTGTTATTTTTTTTTTTTAAGACAGGGTTTCTCTGTGTATCCCTGGCTGTCCTGGAACTCACTCCGTATACCAGGCTGGCCTCAAACTCAGATCTACCTGCCACTGCCTCCCAAGTGCTGGGATCAAATGTGTGTGCCACCGCTGCCTTGCAATTATTTTTAATTATTTATGTTTATTTAATGTGCAGTCCTGTTTTGCCTGCATGTACGCTTGTGTGAAAGTGTTGGATTCCCTGAAGCTGGAGGTACAGGCAGTTGTGAACTCCATGTAGGTGATGGGACTTGAACCCAGATCCTCTGGAAGAATAGCCAGTGCTCTTATGTACTGACCCACCTCTCTGGCCCCAGCAGGATGGATTTTAAATGTCCTTCTGAACCAACACAACACCGCTTAGAAACTGATTATAGGTCCAAGTGTTAGAACTCAAGATAAAAATGGGTTCATAAATAATACTCATGGATGTAAATTTTGAGAAACAGTGTGTGGAATGTCTTATATTGTTAGTGTATTATGAATTGCTCATGTCATCAAGTGGATTTTCACTATAGTGTGTGTTTCCCCTAAATTCATATATACTGTTCTCTTGTCAATTTATTGAGACCATTGTTTTCTATGTTTGTGTGTGACTCACAGCTAATAAAATTATTTGGCTATCACCAACTTATCTTGTGTTTCCGTTTCAGAATTGCAGAACGTAACATCAGGATTGCATAGGATTTGAAATAGATACTATGGCAAATTTGCAAATTCAAAACCTTCTAAGGCTCACTGGTTAAAAAAAAACCATCCACCCCGACCCAGATTCCCTGAATGTGGTGTTAGTTGGGAGGCCTGGGCAGTCTATGGGGCTTCTGGTAGTGGATCAGTATTTATCCTTAGTATAGGAATGGACTTTGGGAGCCCATTCCACATAGAGGGATACTCCTCAGCCTAGACACATGGGGGAGGGCCTGGGATCTGCTCCAAATGATATGACAGACTTAGGAAGACTCTACATGGAAGACTCTGCATGGAAGACCTCACCCTCCCTGGGAAGCAGAAAGGGGATGGGATGGGGGTTGGTGGGGGGAACAGGGGAGGACAGGAGGGTGCAGGAACTGGGATTGATATGTAAAACAAACTTGTTTCAAATGTACATACAAAATTATTTTTAAAAAATTAATAATCTGTCCACCAAGCCCCATGACCCTATCTCTGCCATTGGTCCTCTGACCTCTAGAGGAGCCAGTACATGTGCATATAAGCACATAAATCAAGGGAGGAATAAAGTCTATTAAGGTTTTGAGTCTCACTATGTAGCGCTTCAGGCTTGAAACTCTCAACCCCACAGTTTGGCCCCTACCCCTTCCTCCTGAGTGCTGGTATTTAAAAGTCTGCACGGCAATGCCTACCACAGTGACCTTTTTAAAATACTCCTCAATTTTTGTTTGAAGTGCTGGACGGTGATGTTGCACCCATTTAATCCCAGCACTTGGGAGGCTGAGGTAGGCGAATCTCTGTGCTTGAGTTTTAGGACAGCCTCCAAAGCTAAAGACACACCCGTGTTGAAAAACAAAAACAAAAACAAACAAACAAAAAAAAAAGGCAGAAAGGCAGAAGACCCAGGTTCAATTCCCAAGACCTTCACATTTAATAGGATCCCCTGCCCTCTTCTAGCTTCTACCCCCATGCACAGGAGTGTGATGCACAGACACGCAAGAATAACAAACAACCACACATAAAACAAAAACAAATAAATCGTTAAAAACATAATTTGGGGCAAGTTAAGATATCTCTCAAAGCCGGGGAGGTGATAGCTCACACCTTTAATCCCAGCACTTGGGGATCACAGACAGGCAGATCTCCATGAGTTCCGAGGACAGCGTGGTCTAGAGTGAGTTCCAGGACAGGCTCTACAGGTACACAGAGAAACTCTGTGTCGAAAAAAACTAAAATGAGCAAGCAAACAAAACAAACAACAACAGCAAACATCAAAGGGGATTTCTAAGACAACTGATTTAGTTAGACAAACCCGTCAAGATATGTCCCATTTTAATTCTGGAAGACCTTGAAAAGGCACAGAAGTCAAAGATATAGCTTATGCCTGCAATATACTTGAACAACTCAAAACGAGTTCAGCTTTAACTTAGAATTTTTTTACAATTCTGTAATGTGTCTACATACACACGTGTGGGCATTCCCCTTGGTAAAGCCATCTAAATAGTGAGTGGGACTAAGCCCATGTGGACACGTGAGTTTTCTAAGTCACTGATGTCTGTACATCAGTGTACATGTCTGTAACGGTATTCCTGGAGGCGCGAACATGACTGTGAATTTCTGTAACAGTTGCTACTTGATGCCACTAGATGGCGGTAGACAGCAAACTTGAACACAGATTGAGCATGGGGTAATTAAGTATTCAGTAATATAGATCACATACACGCATGTATACATAGGTGTGTGTGTGCATGTGTGCATGTGTGCGTGTGTTAAACAATGAAAAAGGGGGGTCAGGAAAGAGCCAAGAGCCATATGTGGGAAAATTTGGAGGGAGGAAAGGTTGGATGTGAAGAAATTAAATTACGATCTCACAAACGAAATCATTTTTAAAATTTATTTAATTCACTTATCTTGGTTTTTGTTTTGAGACAGGGTCTCTCTGTGTAACATCCCTTCTTCTGGAATTCGCTCTGTCCACCAGGCTGGCTTCAAACTCACAGAGATCAGACTGCCTCTTGCCCCTCCAATGCTGGGATTGAGCCCAAGTGTCACCACCCCTAACAAAAGAAATTTTATTTTTTTTTTAGTGGGATCCAACATTTTTAATCATTTTCCCTCTGGGTAGCCTTGGAAGGAGACCCGAGAAGCCAGAATGTGGGGAAGAGCAAAGAAGCTAGCATCAACTGAGGGTCCCCTGGCCTCTCTGTCCTATGGCCGATGCCTTATCAGTCCTGTGGCTTGGAAAGTAGGGTTTGCAGGGGGAAAGGAGGGTATTATGTAGCCCGGGCTGGCCTCAAACTTGCCATGTAACCTAGGATGACCATAAACTCGTAATCCCCCTGCCTCTACATGTCTGTGTTGAGAACACGAGCGTGTGACACCACTCCTGGCTTATGAAATAGGATATTGGACATACTCTATGGATGTCTAAAAGACCTCTACCCAGGTAGGTTCATGAATTGGACTTCCAGCCTCTTGATAAGGTTCAACATCTACAGACCCCCAGCACTGGTGCCTCCCCAATATGACCCTGGATTCTAGAACATTCTATTCATCTTTCCGTCATCCCCAGCAATCACATTAAGCTTCTTTTGCATTTTATTTTTGGACAAGACAAAAATAGCTCCAGTCGGTGGCACATGCCTGTAATATGCATGGATACTGATAAGTCATATATATACACACATAAGTCAAGTGAACAGTCAGTGCCCTAAATCTACCATGTAAACCTGACATTTGTTAATTTTAACTGTATAAAATATCCAAGTGAATTTAGAGGTTTCACTCTGTAGCCCAGGCTGTCCTCAAATTCCCAGGAATCCCCCTGCCTCGGTTTCTTCCATTCTAGCACTAAAAACATTAAGTGAGTTCTGACTCACATTCTCCAGGTAAACTTCAACAGATTTCCTTCCTCTCTGGAGCACATTCTCAGCACCTTCACTGAAGTCTGGGGGGAAAGCAGCAGATACAGGCATCACAAACATAATAGCTACTGACTGCTTGCTGCTGGGCTATCTCAGGAGAAGAAGGCGCCTCTCTCACTGGGGTAGGGCTGGATGGGAGCTAGGCTCTCTGATGGAGCTGAGGCTGGATTGAACTTGAGGGTGAATTGTCCGCAGCCTTTGGCAGGATTGCTACCTCCTGTCCCTTACTGGGAGATGCCTTACTGGGAGATGCTCTCTGGAATCTAAGCTGGAGGAGGCAGAGAGTGTGCTTTAGCTGGAAGGGGGAATGGGTAGCCTCTTCTACAAGATCTGAAACTTCCAGGCACTCTGATCTTTGTAGTCCAGAGGGTCCATGGGGTTATAGGTGAATTTCCAGGTGCCTGTGGGGTACTTGAATTCCAGGCTGTCCACAGGGCTGTAGGCGCTGTAGCTCTGGCCTGACAAGGAGGTGGGTGATTGGGCCAGGGATGGCCCTACAGAGGGGCCTGAAAGGGGGCTGAGAGCTGGACCTCCCAGCTGGGGCACCATGGGAGAAAGGTAAGGATCCAGCCCACTGAAATAGGAACTTGGAGATGCATAAACTGAGGGGGAAGAACAAAAAGCAGAGGCAGGAGCATAGGTCATGGCATAGGGGGCTGAGGTGAGAGAGGGTGCTGAGGCCACTAGCCCAGCTCGCTGGGCCTCAGACAAAGGAGACTCTGAAGCTGGACTCCAAATGGACACAGTGGCCACTGCCGCGGTAGGTGAGCCTGAGGGGCCAGGCAGTGATGGGCTGTAGGAATCTGAGATGCCCAAGAGTCTGTACAAACATCTGTGGAGGGCCTTGGGGATGTGCCTGCCTTCCTCTTCGCAGGACGAGCCTTGGCCTGCCCCCCTGGGGGCTGCTGCTGCTGCTGTTTCTGCTGCTGTCGCTGCTGTCTGCATTTTGCCCTGCGATTCTTGAACCAGACCTGGGCCCTGAACTCAGGCAGGTTGATCTTAAGAGCCACTCCTCGCGTGCATACACATCCGGGTACTG